TCTAGAATAAGCAACTAGCAATCATTGTTCATGGCAATGACAACTAAAGCGTATTCACAATAAAAAAGGACAATATCTTCTATATGTCCTACCCAAACTTTACCCAAAAATTCATCAACCTTTTGAAATAATGACTGAATTTTTTTATATGTACAGTATAGCTGTGATTACTAGATTTATACTAATCACGTTTCAGTGGTTGTTTGTGAATTTTGTGAACAGGTTTTCCCAGGTTTGCTGTTGACACTCACTCACTCTTTCAGCTTCTCCATTAACTTGTATAAAGTCACGGGCCAGTTCCCATGGAGCTCACTCAGAGAAACGGACCGAGGGGTCTCCACAGAGTTCAGCGTAAAGGATTTATTTTATTATAATAATTTTTAATAAAATTACAATTATTTAAATTTTTATAATTTTTATTTGTATTTTATCTCATTTTATTTATTTTCTCTTTACCAAACCAAATATTATGTCATAAATAATTAAGTTTTAGTAGATATAGGGCCAGATTTACTAACAGCTTGCACCAGCGCAAACCATCTTTTGGCATTAAAATAGTACTGTCAGGATTTACTAAAGATGCGCAGTGAAGAATTAGCGCTAAAAAAGGCGTGGACACAGTTATTTTTGCGCCTGACCTTATTGAATATGCATTTGTAGGCGTTTCCCTTTCAAACGCAAAATTTATGGATGGAGAGTATTAAAAATGAATCACGCAACGCGCTTTACTAACATTTGTGCTCGTCAAATTACAGGCATTTGCGCCATTATTGAGAAAAAAAAAAAAAGCATGTCGTAAGTACGGGGCAGTTGGGGCCTAATGGTTAGAGAGTCGGACTAATAACCCAAAGGTTGCGGGTTGGAGTCTCGTACCGGCAGGGATTGTAGGTGGGGGGAGTGAATGTACAGCGCTCTCTCCCACCTTCAATACCACGACTGAGGTGCCCTTGAGCAAGGCACCGAACCCCCAACTGCTCCCCGGGCGCCGCAGCTTATTTGCGAGTACGATTGGTATATTGTAAATGAGATGTTGCGTCTATGTTTTTTAATTATTGTTAGTAAATCCCCCGCAGAGATTTCCACGCCCATCGTTGCTGGTTTGGAATTGCGCTCTGGCGCTAATTTGCCCTGTTTAGTAAATCTGGCCCATTACGTCAAAAGTTTTACTATATGTGTAAGATATTATCTAATGTATTTAGCGATTGTTTGGTCTATAATAACCAGTTCCCCATCTGGAGGACAAATCACACTTTGAAGTGGGAGGGCGTGTGGAGAGAGCTGGGCTGTTTGGCCCGTACGGCCTCCTTCGCTGTCAGGGAGGAGAGTGGCCAGTCCCTGAAGTCCTCACTTTCCGTATGTCTCTTCTCTGAAACTTGTTATTACAATCATTGATATCTGATTTTAAATATATGATATTTTCCTCACAGCACGCAATGGTCATTGACACACGCAATTCTACCATTCTTCCAAGAAAAGGTGCCTTATTGAAGATCAACCAGGTTTGTTTGAATCAATTGTTGTCCTTGTAAGAAATAGCTTATCCAATACTGTCATTATTTACTTCATTTTTATGGTCTGTTAGGAACTGGCAGGTTACACTGGAGGAGATGTCAGTTTCCTGAGGGAAGACTTTGAAATTCAGCTCAACAAGACTCTGTTCTGGGACTCGGTGAGATGCTGTGGAGGAAACTATTGCTTATGTTTCTTTATTGCAGTGTTATTTTAGTATCATTAATGTACTTATTCAAATTATACTCCAGCCACGCAGCCTGGAGACAGATCTCGGCTTGTTCGCAATGCAAGGGTAAATAATAAATGATGTTTGAATAAGTACAGCGTTTTCTTCACTAAAACACTGTCTATAAAGGCTAATGTTTTTTTGTGTGTTTGAAGAGCGGAGAATAACTTTTGCCGTCTAGTTGTAACCAATAGGCTACTTTTGTAGGCTGCGTTTTAAATATCCTGTGCATATAGCACTTCATCGTCTATCATGAGCATTGTAGACACGAATTGTAGACATGAAAGATTCATTATGCATATATTTATTGTGTTATAACAGAGATTTGTGAGATTGTGATGAACTGAGATGTCTTTTAGAGATTATAAATGCAGCGCTCTTTGCTGGTATTCTGCCGTGCCAAACCATGCACGCAGCAGCCGCTGCTTTAGTTAAAAATAACAGTGTTCTGTGAATGTTGATGCTTTAATAACAAATACTTATCGGGAGCATGTATGCTGGGATTTCATAAATTTCATGGGGAAAAAAGTAACGTAACTAGTAATGTAACTAATTACTAATTACTTTTGAAATAAAGTAATCAGAACAGTAATGTGATAACTTTTAAAAGGAGTAATCAGTAATCAGTTATTTCATTACATTTTCAGAGCAACTTGCCTAACACTGCTACCAACATAGTTTGTTGACGTTTTAAGCAGTTTCAGAAGGCTCTCTTTAGTTTTAGTAATTTTAATCTTTAAAAAAAAAAGCTTAATTTTAAAATGTTTCCTTGGCAACTAATTCTGGATAACAAGAGTCGATATATAATTATTGACACAAAATTTAAATAGTTTGAATTAAAAAAAAAAAAAAAAATTCAAATAAAAACTTCACACTTTCTGCACTGATAATAAGTTGAATTTTATTTTGATTATTTTATTTCAACGAAAATGTTCTTTAACAGTCTTATTTTCCTCTCTTTGTAGGTGCTCTCTACCTCTCTGTGGGGAGGTATGTTGCTGCCTCTTGGAGACAAACCCTCCTGTATCGCTGACAGGTTAGTGAATTCCCTCTTTCATTAGTAATAATAACCCACAAACACACAAGGTAAAGCTATTTTTGTATTTAAACTTGTGTTTAGGTTCTATCTGGGTGGGCCGACCAGTGTAAGGGGCTTCAGCATGTACAGCATCGGCCCTCAGAGTGAAGGTAACTGACTCTGACTCTGACAGTGAAGCTCAATATCTCAATATTCACAACTAAGGTTTGTTTTCTCACTTTGATGACAGGTGATTACCTCGGTGGGGAGGCATATTGGGCTGGAGGGCTTCATCTGTACACCCCGCTCCCATTCAGGCCAGGTAGAGGCGGCTTTGGAGACCTTTTCAGGACACATTTCTTTCTCAATGCCGGAAACCTGTGTAACCTCAACTATGGTGAGATAAAGAAAGCTGCAATGGTTTTATTTTTCTCGATGTTTTTACTTAATTGAAATCATCCACTAGGGGAAGGACCCCGGGCACACCTGAGCAAGCTGGCCGAATGTATCCGCTGGTCTTATGGAGCGGGTATTGTGCTACGTCTAGGGAACATCGCTCGGCTGGAGCTCAACTATTGCATTCCCATGGGTGTCCAGAGCGGAGACAGGTAGACAATCACAGACACTCACACGATCACTCACAAATACACAAGTGATTACACTTTTAATGTGATTGTGTTATTCTTCTACTATTATACATTTGTAATGTACTGATGTGTTTTGTCTCTCAGACCAGAGCGGAGACAGGTAGACAATCACAGACACTCACACGATCACTCACAAATACACAAGTGTAAAAAATTACACTTTTAATGTGATTGTGTTATTCTTCTACTATTATACATTTGTAATGTACTGATGTGTTTTGTCTCTCAGGATATGTGATGGAGTGCAGTTTGGGGCTGGAATCCGGTTCCTGTGATACCACGAGTCCCGTTTTAGAACAAAGAAGCATTTCTGTCACTTTGTACTTGTGATCAAGGATATTCATTCGATTCCATTTCGAGCTGCAAAGTAATGCAATGAATGTTGGCTAATTTCTCTGTTTTGGCAAACATGCTAAAAAAGGAAAATTGTCCAAAAAGATTTGTTAGGAATCAGTCACCCATTTTAAAGTTATTGGCACTTCATTGTCATATTTATTTGTCAGAACAAGTCGGTGTTCAATAAATAATGTTTCTGGCCTTTATTGTGCTGTCTTTTTGTGTTTATATATAGTTAATATTAAATTCTATATATTTATGTAATAATATAATATATAATACAATTCTACATATTTATATAATATTAAACAAAAGTCAACAAATATAATTATTAATACAAAATTAAAATAAATAAAAATTGCATTTAGGATTTTATTAATCAAATGGCTGCAATATAACAAAGAGTGAAAAATTTAAGGGGGTCTGAATACTTTCCGTACCCACTGTATATATATATATATATATATATACTAAATTAAATAATATTTTAATTTTTTTAATTAATGGCCTTGTAGAGTTAAAATTTTTTAATAATAAAACAATTAAAAACAGTTCACTAATTCAACTAATTCTATTATACTATATTGTGTAAGCGGACATTTTTGTATATAAACAAATTTCAACAAAACGTTCAAATAAAAAAGTTGTTCACACTTTCTGCACTTTTAATCATACAAACACTGAGTAATTCCATCTTTCACTATTTTTTGTTCTCACACAAAACATTTCTCAACCACTGTCAAGCCATATTTAAAGACTATTGGTCTCGGATCAATAAGCTTACAGATACTAAAATACACACATATATAAGTTTTAAAAAATTATTAAACTATCCTTCTCACACAACATATGAAATGCTTTTCATTACAGAGTTTCTGAAAATGTGGCTCAATGAAAAACATTTAGTAACCATCATGAAAATAAAGAGCAGTTTAGTTGCCACTGCTCTATATTTGCTTAGAAACATTCATCGTAATCCTAAACATATTATAAAAAATTAAGAGAATAGCAGATCTGATGTATAACATCAAGTCACACGAGACAATCTAAGATTATATCTCTGGCTGTAGCTCCCACTGAGAAAAATATAATCTGTGCAATGTCATATTGAGTCCAAAAGGGGGCAGAACTACAGTGTATGATGCAAATTAAATGGACAGTTCATAAAAAAAACGAATTCTGTCATCATTTACTCACCCTCATGTCATTCCACTTTTATTGGGTGACCTATCCCTTTAAATCCCATATTTAAAGACTATTGGTCTCGGATCAATAAGCTTACAGATACTAAAATACACACATATATAAGTTTAAAAAAATTATTAAACTATCCTTCTCACACAACATATGAAATGCTTTTCATTACAGCGTTTCTGAAAATGTGGCTCAATGAAAAACATTTAGTAACCATCATGAAAATAAAGAGCAGTTTAGTTGCCACTGCTCTATATTTGCTTAGAAACATTCATCGTAATCCTAAACATATTATAAAAAATTAAGAGAATAGCAGATCTGATGTATAACATCAAGTCACACGAGACAATCTAAGATTATATCTCTGGCTGTAGCTCCCACTGAGAAAAATATAATCTGTGCAGTGTCATATTGAGTCCAAAAGGGGGCAGAACTACAGTGTATGATGCAAATTAAATGGACAGTTCATAAAAAAAACGAATTCTGTCATCATTTACTCACCCTCATGTCATTCCACTTTTATTGGGTGACCTATCCCTTTAAATCATAATAACAAATACTACGTAGTGTAAACCTTTTTTTGTTGTTGAATTCCTGATGCTAGAGATCCATAGTTGACCATCACAAGTGTCCTGTTTTGTGGTCCTAGGGTCCACTATGAGACAGCAGTCATGGCAGAAGGATATTTTGTTATTCAGTGGAGAGCCAATGAAGTGGCCAAACAGATGAAGTAGAGAGTGAGAGATACTGCTATCCCACATGCTCCACCACAATCCTTGGCATTTTCCTGTAAGAACAAAAATACAACAAAAAAAGTAATTTAATTTAATACTATGTCATATATGTGCACACTTGTTCATGCACTGTATGATTGTGGTGGCTTACATGAGGATGGTATGCGTGACAAGACTCTGGTCGTCTGCGAATCTTCTGAGATTTCATCCTGTTGCACTTAACTGTGGCGTTATGTTCAAAGGAGTTAAGAATACCTCAGTTTCACAAGGTTTAACCAAACCACATTCAAATACAAGAAACTCATCATCATGGAAGGATATATTTGACTTCTCTGGGCGCGAGTGTAATGGGAGCGTACTGTCGGGAGCAGTCGCAGTCGGCCTGGACCACCAGCATGACCAGGTTACTGTTAGGAACCTGCTGTAGGACAAACATCCTGAAATATGACAGAGAAAGAGAGAGACATTGACAAATGAATACTGGCACAAATCCACCCATCTGAAGACAGTCTGACTGATGGACGTACTTCTGACAACGGCCACATTTGATGATGCTGTTGGTCTCTCTGATGGAAGTGTCGTACATGAAGCCGGGATACTCTGTGTTACAAGGCTGCATTAGTTCCACCTTCTTCTGTCTGTGTGCTGGAGAGGACAAGATTTTCATTAGAACAGATAGAAAACAGATTCAGCTGTCTGTAGTCCAGAGTTTTTTAAGATGGGGTTTTAAACATAATATTGGAAATAATATATATATATATATAAAGATATATATATATATATATATATATATATATATATAAATATATATGAAATAACAAGTAAAATGTATCTAAATGTATACAATAACGTATATATATAAAATGTTTTTATACTTTTATAAATATCTATTTGAATAATTTTATAAATATTCTTTCTGCTTTTTAAAATGTTGCTTTATGAATATATAGTGTGCATAATATATTTGTCTGCCTTAATATTATGATCAAATTTAGAGGCCTTTCACATTAAATCGTTCATTTAAAAAACCACTGGTCAGGTCTAGGTCAGTAAAGCAGTCATTACTTTGTTAGCAATACAATGTTTTAGCACAACTGTTTAAGAATCTCTGATTAATATGGTGGTCCAGTAGTGCACAACACAACAAAATCGCCACAACACAATGCATAGGACTCATTTTGTTGTGTTGTGCTAATTTCATTGTGTTGTGGCTTGTTTCTGTTGTATTGCGACTTTTTTCCATTGTGTTGCACCTTGTTTCTGTTGTGTTGTGCTAATTTTGTTGTTTTGCGTCTTGTTTCTATTGCGTTGCGTCATTTTTTCATTGTGTTACGTTTGTTTCCATTGTTTTGTGTTAATTGCGTTGTGTTGCAGCTTGTTTCTTTTGTGTTGTGGAGATTTCGTTGTGATAATAAATCAGGATCTTCTTATGGTATGAGACCAGACTAGACTAATATTTTGTCAAGAAAACCTAGATCTATGCTAAAGTCACTACAGATGACTAAGTCATTTCATTAGCTACAAATTATCAGGCTCTAATTTGGATCCTGGCTATAGAAAGGCACAAACTAAATGAAGGACATTTGCTCATGTACACATGTGGATACTTACATGCGTGAAACCCAGCTTTAGCTGAACCGTGTCAATGAGAAACAGTTACAGCAAAATGATGAACAACAATGGAAATGGAGAATGAAGAAATGAGAGACTGACACTACATAAAATGATACATTAAATTAAACTGAGATGGAGATGAGGTTTACATGTCTGGGTGTTTGAGGATTTCTGAAGTTTGAACAAAAACAAAAACGTTACATCCTTCGTAACTTCCTAACTTACCATCCACAACATAGTCACTATGCCAAAGACCACAGATGTTGAACTCCAACAGAAACCTGTAAGTTTAAAATGGAGGATACATTTTTACTGGCAAATCAAATTACATCGCAAATGAATAAAATAGCTCATGTTCCCCCTGGTTTCACAACCTCAAACAGCACTTACATCACAAAATGTGAGAAGAACCACTTTACTAATGCCAGCACACCATAGAAAGGCTGTGAGGTGAACAGAGGTGGATTGTCAACAGTGTCAGTACAATATAGACTGCATTATGCACTATAAAGAATAGATTCTCTCTAATAGATGCTAAGGTGTACATACGCTGAACAGTGGTCGAGCTCCACTAGTGTGATGATGGGCGTTCTTACACATGGCCTGGTAGTCATACAGAGTCACCCTTGTAGGACAATATACAGCATTACTTCATGCTCAGATTTTGAAAGTACCACTAAACTATAAAGGAATAATTCACCAAAGAAAAATGTATTATATTATATAAAAAAACTCTGAGGAGACCAGTTACCTTTTAAACAGGCCAGATTTTAGTAACTGGGCCATGACAGATCCGTCTATTTCCCCAAAGAATTTACCAACCTGTATGAAAGGACACAGAGACTAAAGCATACATACAGCAGACTGAAGGATTATTCAGGTTTAGATATACAGTATGACACAATATGAAATCATTTCTGAATCCCATGATGAATAAACACACACACACCTACACGCTCATAGACAGACAGATGTGCAGTGATCCAGTTGTGCAAACAGATGCCTGAATCTGCCCTGTCTGCCCCATGGCAATCTGGGATTAGACTCCATAAGCATTCATCTCCTGGCTACTGCTCACATAGCTACAATGCATGTGTTGCAACAAACAGCTGCGGTTATGGTATGAGACCATTGTCAGCATATGGATATATGCAACCAAATACAATAATACACAATTAATCTAATACATAAGTCAACAATAATGATGACATTTATCATTAATTTAAATAAAACATACTGTTGACTAAAATATCATGATTTATAATTAACAATGCACTAAACAATGTTTTTAAAGAAGAAAAATCTATATGGTTTTTGATGAAGCTGAACAGTGAATTAAAGGAATAGTTCACAAAAAAAGGAAACTTTCTGAAAATGTACTCACCCCAGGCCACTGAAGAATTATAGGAGTTTGTTTCTTCTTCAGAAAAGATCTGGAGAAATTTAGCATTACATCACTTGCTCAACCAATGGATCATCTGCAGTGAATGGGTGCCATCAGAATGAGAGTCTAAACAGCTGATAAAAACATTACAATAATCCACAAGTAATCCAAGTAATAAAAACCCCCAGTACATCAATTAAATGTCTTGCAAAGTGATAATCTTCATGATTGTAAGAAATAAACACATCATTAAAGGGGTCATATGACGTTGCTAAAAAATAACATTATTTTGTGTATTTGGTGTAATGAAATGTGTTTATGCGGTTTAAGGTAAAAAAAACACAGTATTTTCCACATACTGTACATTATTGTTTCTCCTCTATGCGATGCCTTTCTGAAACGCGTAGATTTTTACAAAGCTCATCGGTCTGAAAAGCGAGGTGTGCTCTGATTGGCCAGCTATCCAGTGCGTTGTGATTGACCGAATACCTCAAGCTTGTGACGGAATTGTTACGCCCCTTAACATACTGTGATGGCGTGTCTGGCCGGAGCGACGAGACAAAAACATTAAAACCCATTACTTTCTTTGCGTATACATTTGGGTGGTGTTATGCAAATCTTCCCACACAGTGATGCAGACATGTGGGGGCGTGTTAGAACGAGCCATTTTAGGAGGGCGTGGACGAGTCTTAACTTTTATAAAGAATATCTCTTTGTGTTTGAGACTTTAGTCTTTGCAACTTTAGGGATCTTATCTATTCACAAACAGCTTGTAACATTCCAAAGAGAAAGGAAAACTTGAAATCACATCATAAGACCCCTTTAAAACATTTTAACATTAAAATGTCACTTCTGGCTAAAATACAAAATAAAGTCCATAATCCATAATAACACTTACTCCAGTGAAAATGTCCTCTCACATCAAAATCCACCAACATATTTGTTTATAACTGTTTTGTACTGTTTTTTGATTGTAAATGGTGCTTGATCTATCCACATTCTTCTCCTGATTCAGACAAGATGACTTTTTCACTGGAGAAAGCAATATTATGGATAGAGGACTTGTACTTTAGTTGGAAGCAACTGCTTGAAGTTAAAAACTTAATGGATTTACAAACACAAAAGATTACAAACATAGAGCCTTCACTTTATAAGATGTTAAATGATGGACTGGAGTCGTGTGGATTACTTGTGGATTATTGTGATGTTTTTATCAGCTGTTTGGAATCTCATTCTGACGGCACCCATTCACTGCAGAGAATCCATTGGTGATGTAATGCTAAATTTCTCCAAATCTGTTCCAATGAAGAAACAAACTTATCTCATTATTGAATGCCCAGAGGGTGAGCACATTTTCAGGAAGTTTAAATTTTTTTGGTAAACTTGAACTAAGTTGTGCGCTACTCAGAATGTATAAAGGTAAGGTCACATTGATTAGTCGATTGTGTATTGTCAATAGTGTATCAATGTACAGTATGAAGCACAGTTCCCACGGAAATTACTTTTAAATCAAGCAGCCTTCTGTTGGTCAACGATTGTATGCAAGCATCATATTTATTTGTATAAAGGACGTCATTCTCCATTTCGATTTTCTGTATGCACTTTACTGTCCTATAAATAAAAGCCCAAAAGATAAAATTTTAAAATATGTGGCAACCTTTCCCAACTAATCCACTTTCACCAGGTCCATTCTCATTCTCTCAATCACTGTCTCATTTGAGACCCCATCTATTCGCTCCAAGGACAAGCTTGTGGTACATTATCGAGTCCTCATCTTGTCACCTGCCCTTCACACCAAACCCCCTGGGCACTGGAAACACCCAAGCACAGCTAGAGCCGTCACCTAACACAAGTCAACATCTTCCAGCTTCTCTTCTGTGAATAAATGCTGTTGGGGCATGTTGTCACAAAAGGTCAATGTGTGTTCAATGAACTGTTTGAAATACTCACATCCCCTTTTTCCTTTGAGACCAGTGTGAAGCCATTATTGTCAACAAGGTAACAGTTCACATCCTGTGAAAAACAGAGATGGATTAGAATTGACATTAGAATCTCCCTTGTTGAACTGAATCAGAATTCATTCTAGTGAATCAGTTCGTGTAAACTGATTCAGAACAACGATTCACAGATTACATAAAGATAACACAAAGAAGAGTCAATTAGCTTCACTCACAACGCTCTCACAGCTGAGAGGACATATACCGTCCACATCACTGCACTGCAAAGAGGAAGAAGGCAACCACAATGGCTTTAGTAAATGGACAAGAACATTTTATCAAATGCATTATACTGAGAAAACACTACAGTTGTGAAATTAACTGTACATTATGACACTATGAATGGGGTACAAATTAGGGCCTAAAAATAGTTTTTTGCTAACAAATGGTGGTTGTAAATAAAAATTGCAACTAATTTGGTGCATGTCTAAATTTGTGGGGGGTTGTGTGTACTTAAAGTAATGGGACACCAAAGTGTACCATATTAGTTGAACATGCCTTAGAAATAACAATGCAATACTTACATCTGTGTTGTTTGGCTGACCAGAGGAAATAAGGGAAGAAGAAGAAAAAGAAAACGAGCAGGAAAAGATTAAATGTTTTGGAGAGTTGTTTGTGTGCGTTGCACTAGATGACAAAAACTACAAGAAAAGAGTCCTTGTGTGAAACAGGGGTGGTGTTTGAAAATTCCTAGGTTTAAACCCCAGAAGGGACCATAAGTCATGTGGCAAGTCGCACTGAATAAAAAAGTGTTTGGTAAGGAGCAAGCATCTTGATAAATTGCTTGGAGGCCTGCAGACGTGAGCATGTACATGTACGCTTAGAAATCTCCAGTGACAAACACTATTTGCTCATTCGTCAGTTCAGGACCACAACACTTAATATTTGCTAGATTGTTGTCATAGAGTCTCCCTTTACACTACACACACTCAAGAAAAGTCGGTAAAATACAGCTCAGTGTGGTGTGTTAATATGAAGGAATTTTCCGTATTTATTTTTTTTACAGATGTTTCATTTTGAATTACTCATAGCATTGCATAGTGTTTTTGGGTTGAAGGAAATTTACATAAATTCAACAGAAAATGTACACATATTACATATTATATCAAATATGTAATATGAATATTTTTGAGGTAAAACTCACTTGTTTGGCAATAGACAGGAGCACTCTCTCCAGCAAGTCCAGGGATGCTTGCATTCCAATAGCTGCAAATGGAAGAAAAAGGAAAATCTGAAAACTTTTAAGATCATTTTATAGAGGTTGCATTCTTATTTCCAGTCAATTAAATATTTTTGTGCAGAGCATTACAAAAAATATATATGTTGGATAAAAACGTCCATAAATATTTACAATAATGTTTCCAGCGACTTTAAAATCCTTTTATAGACAATTTCTAGTGAAATTAAATATTTTTGAGCTGGTCATTTCAACACATAATCATAACAAAATAATATTTTGATGACAACTTCCATAAATAATTTTATAATAATATATTTAATATATAAATATATAATATAATATTATAATATATTACATATTTTATGATTTTTTTCCCCCATTATTTTTCAGTTTCCAGGTTTTCCATGAGCGTAAGAACCCTGTTTTAATGTTTTGCTTGACAACATCTGTTGACGCTGTATATCACACGATTAATCCTTATATGTTCAACATCATAAGCTACCACAAAGAGTCATGAAAAAACTGAAGAGGCTACCAGTTTCTAAGCTGTATCAGCTGGTGTTTTATCTCTTCTGCCCTCTCCTCAGTCCATCCATCTCTCTCTCTCTGGCCGTGCAGGCAGGCACAGACTGTTCTAATGTTAGTCCTACTTACTGATGTGACCCACACTCATACACACTCTGGATTTTCAAGCTGTGAGCTGCCAGTTCCTCTTGTTTCTTTCATTTTAATCATTTTAATCATGAGGACCCCTACGAAGACTGCTGGAAGGTATGTTTCAGGTCTGATTTGCTTTTAGTGCAGTCATAATCATTTCTCACTGATTAGGTTAAAAAAACAGTGGTCGTTGTTTGTGCTATTCAATATTTAGGACTTTGTTAGACAGAAGAATTGCCTTCTTTACAACAATTTTAGTATAATATAAATTCACACCATTTAATTCTTAAATCTATGCTTTTAATAATTTTCTTTAGGGTTTTCTTTCTATTCTAGGTCTATAGAACATTCCACTTTAATCAGATATAGAAATATCTGGGATTTTTTTTTTTTACAGATTTCATTCAATTTTATGTATTATGAAAAGTGCACATTCCAGCACGCACAATTTGATCCTCTTTTCACTGATAAAGCGGATGTTGTTCTCAGCTCTGATTTATTATCTAATAGTGTGGACAGTTTAATCCTTGATAGTTTAATGCAACCAATGTGATGGGCAAAAAGGAGAAAGAGTAATGTTGGTGTGTTTGTATTATATACTATATATATATATAAATAATATAAAATATTCAAAAAGAAATATGAATAGTGTGAAGCAGCTGAAAATATACTTTGTAAGTAACCTCACAATGCCTCTAGTTTTTCACTTGGCTTTTTTCTCTCACAACAAGCAATGGGCCTCTGGGCAGCTTTTATACAAAGTACTCTCTTTCACTATTTCTTTGCCTTCTGAAGACTCAAATTCATGTCAGGTCTGTGCTGTTGTGCTGACCTCATGATGTAATATATGTTCAGCCTTCACAGGGCATTCATTGAACATTTTAATTGTAGTCAGCTTATTATAAAGCATAAAACATAAAATCTGTACCAGCAGAACATGCATCATAGCACCCATCCTTCTTTACTCATTCTTTTAACAGTGTTTGCCTTGTTTGTTACCAGTTTTGCAACAACTACAGCAATTCCAAGTGAATTCAACAAATTTCCTGGTGCATTCATCATGATGGAGAAGGAAGGCATTAATTTGGTGTAGACCAGTGGATGCTCCTCCAAAGGTTTGCTCAGGAACTGTTACAACAGGGTTTGGTGGACAATGCGGTCCAGCATGAACATTATAGGTAAGATTCTCAACCTATTACAACATCCTCAACCTTCTCAACTCTCATGATTTCCTAACCCTCTCCATTTTCTCTAGTTTCCTCAGGTCTCTTGATGACTCTTCTGAGCTCTTGTGGAACATCTACAAGTTGTCCATCAGGCTGTTCCTGCAATGTAAACCACACAGATTGCAGTGACCTTAACCAACTGGCTTCATTGGACTCTATCCTGGACCAGCTTCCCTTTGACACAAGCTACCTCAACCTCTCAAATAACAACTTCACCACTGTGGAACCTGGGAGTTTTCCCCATTTTTGTGGCTTGCTACATCTAGACCTCTCCAGAAACCTTCTCTCCAGCATCAACCTTGGGTGTTTTTCCAATCTCAGCACCCTGCTTCATCTCAACCTCTCCAGAAACCTTCTCTCCAGTGTCTTCCCTTCAAGCTTCTCCCACTTGAACAACCTGGGGGTCCTGGATCTCTCTGAAAACCTCCTTGTGAGGCTCCCCGTTAACTTGTTCTCTGACCTCGGCAGCCTAACAGAACTGGTTCTAAGAGACAACATTCTTAAGGAACTGAATCCAGATCAGTTCAAAGGCCTGACTGAGCTTAAGCGTCTAGATCTTTCCTTTAACAGTCTCAGCTCCATGCCCACACACCTGATGGATGGGCTCCAGAATCTAGTGTGGCTCTCGCTTATGGGCAATAAGCTGAGAACTCTGCAGCGGAATTCACTTGAGCCAGCGACCGCTCTACAGCAACTTCTGCTCGATGGAAACCCATGGAATTGTAACTGCAATTTAATTCCCCTCAAGCATTGGCTGGAATGGATTGTATACACAGGTGAGAGAGGTCATTTATCACAGCTGGGAATTAGTTATGCACAATATTTATCTGTACCATATCAGTTACAGTATCGGCCGATTTAGAGAGATTTAAAGTCACAATGTAAAGAAAGTAGTGACAGAACCATGTCAAATGTATTGTGATGTAAATGAAAATGAAATTAGTTATCAAAAAAATGTAGAGAGAAGTGGTTCTATGCATCAGTTATTGATTGAAAGGAGGCGGATCAGAATGTGAGTTGCAGTCGATTGTAATAAAGGGACAGGGTTTAAGAGGACTGAATGATTAGAGAATACTGCCATATATCACCAGAAAGAAGTGTTTTGTTGATGATTTAATTCAAATTCAATTAATGCAATCTTTAGCAAATCTCAAAACGAATACCCATATTTCATAGTGTCAGTTATAATGTTGTGATGTGTTAATTATAATGTTGTGATGTCTAAATTCACTTGTAGCATTTAAAACTATTTTTTACAGTTTTTTAAAGATGGTTCAACCATCAATGTTCAGTGACTAACATTAAATCCATTAAATTAATCATAATATGATTCTAATATAATATAATATAATATAATATAATATAATATAATATAATATAATATGTAATTATGTGTGTATGTATTCAAATTAAACATAAAATAATAAATTATGAATGAATAATATATATTATTCTTTTTATTATATTTTTTCACTGATTTATTTTTTATTTATTTAGACAAATTAATATAGAATTTATTACTGAGAATTTATCAGTTAATGGCCAAAACATTAAATTACTTATCGGCTTATCAACATTTGTAAGAATTTTCATATATTTATATTTATATGTATATTAATATATATATATATATATATATATATATTAATCTTTACATTTAAAGATACTTTACATACATATTTAGCATAGACCAATATATTTAAGTTTATTTAATTTTAATTTATATTTTAATATCTTAAATTAAATTTCAATTTCCATAAAAGTTTTATGTATTTCTCTTTTATCATTCCATAGCAGTAATATATATATATATATATATATATATATATATATATATATACACTGTATATATATTATATATTAAAATATAAATTTAAATACACTCTATCTACATATTTAACATAGACCAATACATTTCACTTTTTTTATTTTACATTTTAATATCTTAATCTCTGGTGCTCTGGACCGAAAAATATTTTGTTTTGAATTTTTAAAAATCACAGCTTCATCTGAATGGTACGAAACTTGGTGACTTGGTGGCATTTGGAATGTGAACACACAAAAAAAATTGAGGGCTTGATTCGAACAGGCTAAATGGTTGTAAAAAAAATAGTCACACTTGTGGTCTTCGGTCAAAAATGACCGACCATAGGAAATTAATGGGAAATTGACAAAAACTGCACATTTTTGTGCGTAAAATCTACAAATCTGCCACAATGCAGAGAAAAAGTAAACAACAATGATGGGGTGAAACTCTAAAACATCAAGAGTGCAAAACCAACAAATCCACTCACACACACACATACACACACTCACAGACTGGTGGCATTTGGAATGTGAACACACAAAAAAAATTGAGGGCTTGATTCGAACAGGCTAAATGGTTGTAAAAAAAATAGTCACACTTGTGGTCTTCGGTCAAAAATGACCGACCATAGGAAATTAATGGGAAATTGACAAAAACTGCACATTTTTGTGCGTAAAATCTACAAATCTGCCACAATGCAGAGAAAAAGTAAACAACAATGATGGGGTGAAACTCTAAAACATCAAGAGTGCAAAACCAACAAATCCACTCACACACACACATACACACACTCACAGACACACACACACATACACAATTATACACATTCAAATGAATTGGTATGGCTATAACGGTATAGCCATAACGAGTCAGAAAATTGAAATAAGAGGTTGAAATCAGATCAGACCCATAAGGATTAAGCTATGAAAAAATATTAATTTTTGTTACATTTTTATAGAATTTTAATGTTTTGTGTAACGTCTCGGTTACGTATGTAACCCTCGTTCCCTGAAGGAGGGAACGGAGACGTCACGTCGGAGGACCGACGAAATTGGGATCTCGCTTAGAGGGACCAATCTACTTCGAGTGTAAACTAAACGAGCCAATGCACATTGGCATGCGATTATTGCATCCAGCTGCTGCTGATCACAGCGTGAGTATAAGTAGGCAGCGGGTGCAGCGCATATTCAGTTTTTCGCTGAGGAGCCGAGCCGGTGACCCGGTCGCTCAGCGGTGGTACAGGAGCTGTGGCGACGGGACGTGACGTCTCCGGGACCGACTGAAAGGGAACAAAATGCTTTCTCTGTGTTCAGGTTTGACTGTAGTAATAATAATAATTCAAAAACTGACACTTTAAATCAACATTTCAAACCAAATAAAATCTAAACCTTTACAAAAAGTTGTCTTTGAAAATGTCTAAATATATATCCAAACCAACAACTTAATAAAAATAAGTATTTACAGTATGTCTAAAAACAATTAGAGAATTTATAGGCCTTTTATATAGAGCTATATGGGAATCTATGGGCTAAACCATGGAATTGCAGATGTTTTTCTTATTTTACTCCCATCAGATGGCACTAATCTGGCTTAAAAAATTGGATTTTAAAGGCATTGTCTCTATTGTAACATGAAATACTGCCATAATTGAAAAATAATAGAAACTATTTGAAAAAATGTGGGAAAAATTGATCATAACTATTGCATAAATATTAATGAGTGCCATGAAATTCTCTCAAAATACAAAAGAAAAAATATTATTAAACAAAAATATGTTACATTGATTTTACTGGGCGGGAAAAAAGTTAAATTTTAGGTGTCCGGTCACTTTTGACTGTGAAGACCACATGTGTGACTCCCATATAAGGAGCACCAGAGGGTTAAATTTCATTAAAATTTCCATAAAAGTTATATGTCTTTCTCTTTTTTCATTCCATAGGTGGCAGCATAGATTCCGCCAACTGCTCCTTTCCTGCTAATTTGCATGGTAAGGATCTTCGCAGTATTCCTATGGAGATGTTCAGACACTGTTACCCCCTCTATCTGGACACCAGGGACCCATCTGCAGCCGAGGGCCACCAGGTACCAGCCGGGTCGGCTGGAGATTGCATGCGCCAGCGCTACCGGCTTGTGAGTGTGCGTCGAGCGACTGCCACGGTAGTGGTAGCTGGGGTGGTGTGTGGCGTGGTGTGTGTGATGATGGTGGTAACGGCCACCTACGGCTGCATCTACGCAATGCTGATGGCTCACGAACAGCAGCAGCTGACAGAGAGAAACAGCCAGCAGCAACAGCCGCTGATGGTGGCAAAGAAACCAGAACAGGATGAAAAGGTGGATCTGATGCCGACTATCGGAAAGGGAGCAGAAGCCACAGAGTGCGTAGTGTGGATGACATTTCCTCCAGAAGTGTGTGTTTAAAGCACATGAGGAACCTATCGGAAGCTATAGTTTATCATTGATGTACATAGATTTATAAATATTTGTTTGGGAGCGAGAGCAATTACAGCTCCTACAAACTGGCTCAAAAAGACAAATATATTCAACTACTCTATAGCTGTTAAGTAGATTTAAAGGGGTCCTATTATGCTTTTTCACTTTTTCAACTTTAGTTATTCTGTAATGTTGCTGTTTGAGCATAAAAAAGATCTGCAAAGTTACAAAGCTCAAAGTCCACTTCAAAAGGAGATATTTTATTTAACAGAAATCACTTTACAAAAACTACAACGAACGACTCGTTCGGACTACAATGCATATTTTCCGGGATTTGTGATATCACAAAGATTGACGAATGGGATGAGACCTGGTTGAGCTGCACTAGAGAAGGCAACGAGTGTTATCACTATGTCGGAGACACACTAGCTTTCCCAAGGCAGACGAACTTAGGGTGGTTACAATCATTCAGGTTTAAATCGCGCTCAAATTGATTTGATTTTAAGCAATATTTACACTGAAGCTGGTAGGAGACTATGGTAAGGGGTGTGACATTTCCTGACCAGGCGCCGAGTGCTGCCAATCACAACACACACTGGCCCAGCTAACCAATCACAGCACATTTCGTATTTCAGAAGGCGGGCCTTCATTTGACACAGGAACTATTCGAGCCGTTCATGCCAGACTGGGGAGAGAGAGGTGATGAAATAATGTAAAATATGTGAAAAATAATGTTTTTCAAACAACCAAGTATGAGAGCCTGTTCTAGTACACCCCCAAAACAAAATCAAGACTTTGTAAAAGAGCATATTAGGACCCCTTTAAGGAACGTAAAAAAGAAAATACTGAATATGATTTTATGTAAACTTTTATATTTTCCTAGGAATTCTCCTAACAAACCACCTCTGTGTTTGATTTCTTATAGTTGTAATCAATCAGTAGTTACTTAGCATATTAGTATATTTTTATAAAATTGAGAAACAGAATAATATTTTAAATATATGTATCTATGTTTAATATACAAGTAATGTATGTCTACATTAGGGATGCACCAGTATTAACATTCTGGTTGATAATTATGGTAAATAAGTTTATTATTATTTTCATGTTGTTAAAATTCTGTAGTATTTGGTCACAATAAATAAAAAAATAATATGCTAAAAACTAGTGCTGTCAAACGATTAATCGCATCCAAAATAAAAGTTTTTGTTTACATAATATATGTATGTGTGCTGTCTATATTTATTATGTATATATAAATACACACACATGCATGTATATAGTTCAGAAAATCATGTTATGTTCATATATTAAATATATATATTTACAATATAAATTATATGAATATAAATATACAGTAGCCATGTAAATACATGTAAATATTTTCAAAATAGATACTGTGTGTGTATTTATATATACATAATAAATATACACAGTACACACACATATATTATGTAAACAAAAACTTTTATTTTGTATGAGATTAATCGCGATTAATCGTTTGACAGCACTACTAAAAACTAAAATCCATAATTTTAAATTCAACCAGGCATTATTTTGCACAGTGTGAAAAATGCATATTCATTTTCAGATTTGCTATAGATTATATTTACCAGTGTTTACCAATTATTAGTTTTTAAACAATCAAATATTTAATATCAGCCCAAAAAAATTATAGGTCTCAATCTTTTGGAACCTACTCCATTTTGAATAATCAATAACGTGCTGAATGATCACAAAATGATATGTTGAATGTAAAATCAGATTTGAGCATATAAACAATGACAGACGGATATCTTACCTCCAGCAATAGCTGTTCTTTTTCCTTCAGTAACCGTCACAGATGTTACCGCCACAAAAGTGTTCTTCCCTGTTGGACAGAGGTCATAGATTACTGTAGCCGATGAACTGTGACATTGCAACAAATCCATTTAACAATGACTTTTTGGGCACCTTTGTTTATATCATCATGCGGGACATAGAAGAAGAATTGACCAGGTTTGTTTTCAGCTGCCAGGCGATACCAAATGGGAAAGTGGTCCACTGTGAAGAGGTTTTCTTTGTCCACAGGGGTCAAGAACCTCCTATGAGGTCAAAGTATCAGGAAATTTGGGGAAAGACCAAAATCTCTCAGTTTGTTTAGAAAATATTGTTTCAATAACATATTTCAAATGAGAAATAAAATTGGGCAATGGTATCAAATGTTTTTTCTTTATCTCAAATCACGCTAAAAATGTATTTTAGCCGGTCCAATGATCAACGTTCAGGGACTATTGCTAACATTCATTATATATACGCACAAATAAATAAATTAATGATAATAAATTATAATTACAAATATTTCTAATCAATTTAGATCATTTTGTATGTATGTATATATAAATATTTAATATCAGCCCAAAAAAATTATAGGTCTCAATCTTTTGGAACCTACTCCATTTTGAATAATCAATAACGTGCTGAATGATCACAAAATGATATGTTGAATGTAAAATCAGATTTGAGCATATAAACAATGACAGACGGATATCTTACCTCCAGCAATAGCTGTTCTTTTTCCTTCAGTAACCGTCACAGATGTTACCGCCACAAAAGTGTTCTTCCCTGTTGGACAGAGGTCATAGATTACTGTAGCCGATGAACTGTGACATTGCAACAAATCCATTTAACAATGACTTTTTGGGCACCTTTGTTTATATCATCATGCGGGACATAGAAGAAGAATTGACCAGGTTTGTTTTCAGCTGCCAGGCGATACCAAATGGGAAAGTGGTCCACTGTGAAGAGGTTTTCTTTGTCCACAGGGGTCAAGAACCTCCTATGAGGTCAAAGTATCAGGAAATTTGGGGAAAGACCAAAATCTCTCAGTTTGTTTAGAAAATATTGTTTCAATAACATATTTCAAATGAGAAATAAAATTGGGCAATGGTATCAAATGTTTTTTCTTTATCTCAAATCACGCTAAAAATGTATTTTAGCCGGTCCAATGATCAACGTTCAGGGACTATTGCTAACATTCATTATATATACGCACAAATAAATAAATTAATGATAATAAATTATAATTACAAATATTTCTAATCAATTTAGATCATTTTGTATGTATGTATATATATATATCTTATAACTGATCTTTTTATTATTATCATTATTTTTCATATAATATGGTATTTATTGCTACTGAGTAAAGTTGTTTGGTTTTTTTTAATAGTTCACTCACTTTCCAACACGTTTCTCACTTCCTGCATATCTGATCACACGCATGAGCCCAGATCGGGTTCCCAGGAAAGCCGACTCCATGCCTTCATCTACACTATACGGAGATAAAAGCAAAGAAAGAATGACTATAAACACTGACTCCTTTTTTTCCAAAATGTTCTTCAAAATAAAAGAGGGACACACAAAAAAGTCAGGCTTTGCTTAATGCACAACATCCAGAGATTAAATAAAGCCTCTTACCCGGGGGCGGTTAGCGTTAGCGCTGTCCAGTAGGCCTCCAGTGGTGCTGTTACCACTGCATCAAAAAGAACTTGCTGAAGAAGTATCTCGTCACCTGATGCAACAATAAAACCTTTACTTTAAGAATAGCATACGCTTATTATGTATAACTGTGTGCTGTTGAACATGGTAAAATGTGGTAAACAGAGTTGAAAGTACACTCTTAGTTGAAAACATTAGCCAAACTAGCCACAGTATAATAAACATGTTAAAATCAGGGGATGAGTTTAAAGTATTTGTCATCTGCATAGAAAATACTGCAGAAAAATGTAAAATACAGTTGAGGAAAACTCACACTCCAAGTCCGGCTCTTTCCCAGTCAGGTATCGGACCACAGCCTGGAGCTGAGTGAGCTTACGGTGGTGTGGGTCAATATCTGTCTCACAATACGTCCTGAGTGGGTAAACCAAAGACCATAGTTCAGCTTATCAAGACATAGAGCTAAGTTTGAAAGGTTTTAGGGACCTATTGTCCTGTCGGTGTTCTGAAGAAGGTGTTGGCCTGTTTGATTTTTGTTCGACAGTACTTACCATTCATCTGCTATAGTGAGGTCTGGCTGCTGAAGGTCATGAAGACCTAAAGAAAGGAGAAAATGGTGAGTAGCTTTGAGGCAGCTCATTATCTGTTGTGCGCGTGTGTTGACAATTTCTTAAATGGGTGTTCCTTCAACTTCAGGCACTTTTATTTCCCAGGGGCTGATTTTTATTAAACCATTTTTCTTCTTGGTACGTATATGAAGGAAACTTTTCTTAAATCTCTGTAAAAGCATTCATTTTGGCTACTTCTTCATCGTTTATCAATTTTATTGTTTTACCCTTGTTGCAAACAGAAAAAATCCATCATAAAAATAAATGATTAAATTAGTAATCTATGATTATTTAAACAAAGAGTGATAAATATCAATATTTCCATATTTATTATTGGTAAAATGAGATTAATTTATATAAGTCTCTTATGCTCATCATTATTTGATTAAAAAATGCAAATGTTGAATGCAAAATGTGAAATATTACAATTTAAAAGACCTGTTTTTATTACTCTAGTATTCAGTGTCACATGATCCTTTAAAAACCATTCTAATATGCTGATTTGTTGCTCAAAAAACATTATTATTATTATTTTCAATGTTGAAAGCAATTGTGCTGCATAATATTTTGTGGAAACATTGATACATTTTTTTTCAGGATGCTTTAATGAATAGAAATTTTAAAAGAACAGCATTTATTTGAAATATAATTTTTGGGTAACATTATAAACATATTTACTGTCTCTTTTGACCTGTGTCCTTGCTAAATACAAGTATTAATTTCCTTTTTTTAAAAATCTTATTGTACTCAGACTTTTGAAGTGTACTGCATCATTTTCACCAACTGTATATCACATGAGCTATAAATCATATAGTGAACTTACCCTCCTCCACAGAAACATTCCCAAAGAACATGTACTGCCCATGGCCTCTTGTAAGCACCATCCCAAAACTGAAAGCACATCATAATTATGCATTAAAGACATCATATGAAGGTATTGTTACTGAAAATATCTAAATAGAAGGGTAAAATACTGTACAATAAAATGTGTTTTTCAATAAGCTATTTCAACATGTGCAGTAAGTATGAAGGGAATATATTGAGAATGTGAGGAGCATATCAAACCTAAATGGAGTTTCATTGATGGTTGTGTAGAAATAATCATTTTTGAGGAAGAAAGGCCTTTTCTGGGGAATAAAATAAAAAAATTCGGTCACAAAGGCAGATTATTAGTTATGACTCAATATAACATTTACAGTATCACTTTATGTTACACATGTTATTAAAGCCTGAGACACACTGCAGGATTTTAGCAAGATGTCACACTGTGCGACATGGATCTAATAAACTTGGCTACAACATGTTTGTAGACTGTACGATGATGACATCTATTGACTTGTATGCACGTTACTATAAAAGAATAAAACGTCATCAGCATGCGCAGGTGCTAAACAAAAAGAGCATGATAAATCACACTTTAGGAGTTGTAGTATTTTTTTGTAGTTGGAAGCGGCGAAAGAGGAAGGCATACAAGCTTGAGTTAAGCAGTTTTGTATTTTAGCGCCATGTCGGGTTGATTTCATGTCGCATTTTTATTGGTTGGTCAGTAACATGGATCGTACCAGCAAACACACTGTGCGATGATCATCATGCTGTATCGTAGGCTTTGAACCTCTCTCACTGTACGATACAGGACCACCAATTAGGAGCCATGTGTGTTTTGGGCTTAAAAGGATGAATCTTACAAAACCTATCAAGAACATGTTCAGGTCACATTTTACTGAAGGAAAAAACAAACAAACTATATTTTAGCAAACTAGTTTTGCATGAATAAGATTATTTTAAGTGTGAAAATAAAAACAATTTATGATTACGGTAATGCAATATGTAATGAAAATATGGGGGGAATGGACACATTCTTGTCAGGACTTGTACGATTCACCCAAAAGGAGTGTTTCAAGTAATTTAACATTTTTAACATAAAAGATGGCTGATGCAAACACACTCACCCCTTTATCCACAGCTGCTCTCACATCTAAAGTCAGAGTGCCAGTTTTGCCCTTCACCATGGCTGTTCTTAACTGCACAGACAGGGCAGGACATCATTACGATTTTTCTGAGCCTTAAAACAGTGAGGATGCTTACAGGAAGTGTATGTACTGTATGTGGACAACTCACATTGTCCTCAGTGTCCTCCCACTCAGCCTCTGACAGATCTACACTGTTGTAGTTAGGCTTGGGTTTCAACTTCTTCCCATCACTGTACTGTTACAAAATAGAGAAAAAAAAACAGCAAGAGGGATGACAAATCAATATCAGCTCATTATATTATATTAAGTCTATCTAGAGGAGCAGATGTTTGAGTGATTGAGAGAGTAAGAAGATTCAGATGGACTCACCAGTGGTCTTAAATCAGGATGTGCCAGAATGTATCCATTGTTTGTGATGAGAAAGGCATAACCATGTGCTCCAAGCTAAAAGATAAAATCATTAGCATTCATCATTTCATATTTTTGTTGACATTGTCACAGTATTTGTAGCTATGTTCATTAAATGTCTTAAATTAAAAGTATATATATAGTTCAGTTATGAAACTCTAGATGGCGCAGGCGATGGGTTGTTAAAGTAACCGATGATATTCAGAGAGTTAAACGACTTGGCACAGCTGCCAATGAGCTTACTGCCTTGCATTTATATGGCTGGCTAGCATTCACTAGAGATTCCTGCAGCGCGCTTTCAGAGTTTCTCTGAAACTCTCTGCCTTCCCCAGCTCCACCTGTATAGATCTGCTATGGGTTATTTTATATGCTATTTGTGCAGCAGCAGTATGTCTTAAATACTCATGGCACCGTATCGCCATATGCACTGGCAGTAGATCCTGTACTTGCTTGCAGCAGCAGCAATAATCTACAGCTACAGCAATAACTAACAGCAGCAGCAATTCAGCAGCAGCGTAGCAGATCTATTCCGCCAACACCAAATACATTAACATTGTCATATCCATCACCATGCTAAAATCTTCCGAGAGTTGTCATGATTGAATTAAATTTGAACTGAGTCTGATCATATATTTATGCACAGTCAGATTTTTCCAGTGTTATAAATAATTGACCAAGAAAAAAGTAATAATGTTTTCTGTGTAATAATGTTTGATTACATATGCAGTTATATATTAATATAGTTAAATTGTAAAATATGTATACTTCATGGTAGCATTTGTTGAATACTGCCTTTCATTCAAGCTGATTTATTTTACATTTACATTTATTCATTTAGCAGGCACTTTTATCCAAAGTGACTTAAAATTGTGGAATACAACAAGAGATTAATCATAAAGAGGCAAATAAACGCAGGAAGTGGTCGTAATAAAAAGTTTCAGACATTGTTCACATGCAAGCTAGATAGAGAGGGATTACGGAAAGAGAAAGCAAAGTTTTTTTGTTTTAATATTAGAGAAAAAAAAATAATATATATATATATATATATATATATA